CGTTACTGGTGATGTTAACTTTGATCACTTGATTAAGATACTATCTGCAGATTTTGCCACTGTAATTAATAAGTGTTTTGAGAAGAGACACTTTTGTATGAGTATATCCCATTCATCCACTGGAATGGACGTTTCACTCAGCAGCAGCAGGAATTTTTAATATTCATTAATATTTCCTGAATGAATTACTCTATTACTATGATGACTGCCAAATGATTTTATAATTCCACAATTACATTTTAATTAGCATTTTGTTATATGGAAATGCTCTTATCTTCATTTGTTTACTCATGTATTTGTTTGTATCAGTATGGGCTCCCAGATTCCTGTTTTATTCAGTGATATTTTATGCCATTGTTATCATTAATTGAGGCACAGATTGTTCCCAGTCTGGCCAGTGGCAGCCCTTCAAGCCAACTTCTGTGTCTTTTGTCATCCTCTTTGAGCACTTCCTTTATTTTCTGGCACAGCAGGATGTCTACACTCATATTGTACTTTCTGAGCTCTAGCACTGCAATCAGCCATTTCTCCAAAGACCCATGGTTTTGTTTTGCTTTGCTTTGCTTTGTGTTGTGTTGTTTTTAATTGCAGAATGAGTATTTAGAAATCAAGAGTTGGATGCTAGGTGTATTCATGCTGTTGAGCCGTTAACTGCTCCTAGGTCCTCACAGTTAGCAGAGCTATGTACGTGCATGCATACCCATTTATGTCTGTTTTTGTGTTTATCTATATATATTGTAAGCTGTTTATACCAATACCTCCAATTATAGTGTAACACCATAGGTTCTCATGCTAATTTTCTATCTTTCCATACTTATAACTCCCTTTTCTGACATGAAGAACCTTGCTCTCAGTATCCTTCATGTATTTATTTATTGGATCAAAATGCCCCCTATATAAGCAATCTCCTGTCACTATTGCTGCCCTAGATGGACACTGTTGTCACTCTGCTCAAGCTCCAAAAGATCCTGTTTAGTCCCTGACAGTGCAAAACCTTATGCCAGACTACAGCTACTGCCTTTTACATACTATCTGTCTCAGATAGTTTCCAACCACGCACATCAGGCTGCCACTACTGCTCTGCCCAGGTGGACACCCTCCTTACAATGCTTAGGCTTCAACATTCTTTGTCAGGCTATTGCTTCCCCTTCACTCCCTGTGCACAGATGCTTTCCTCACCTTGCTTGGGCTTCAGCAACACGCACTTTCCTATGGTCATGTACACCAAAGTCATGATGATACTCTACCATATCATCCTCTAGAAGCTTTATATTGTTTACGTCTCTCAATTATGTCAGCAAACCAACTGAAATTAATGTTATGTAAGTTTAAGGGTAGGAATCAGTATTCGTTTGATTTTTCCATGTGTATATTCACTTGATCCAGGCACATTTCTTACAAAACCACGACACTTTTCTTATACATTCAGAAATCGGAAGTCAGAACCTGTGAGTTTTCAGACAGTGAATGTCATTTACTGCTGTTATTAATTTTGAGTTCATAACATGAAATTCAGAATTTTTTTCCTCCAGGAACAATATATAAATGGTGATTGGAATCCCAGGCTACACACAGAGTCTTTATTCCTAATATACTTTTTTATTGTGTAAAATATACATAAAGCTTACCATTTTAACCATTTTTAAGTGTACAGTTCAGCGGCATTAAATACATTCACAGTGTCGTGCAAGTATCATCACTCTCCATCTTCAGAACTTTTCATCATCCCAGACTAGGAACGTTGAAAAGAAAGAGAAAGAAAACACAAAATCCAGCAGTTTAAAAATCTCTTTCTACTGGAAATAATAAATCCAGGTAACAGGAGTCCATAATGTGAAATACATTTTCAGTATTTTTTTTTTAGAAAATGATACTTAAAGATCATGATAATTGTTTTTCTGTTAATATTCCAATGAATCGCCCATCCTTCCTGTTGCATTCATATTAATACCACCACCACTGTGTGTTCCTTGTCAACAACTGGAAAAGTATAATTCAGAATAAAGAAGCAAGGATGGGGAAGGCACTCATAATTCTGCTCCCAGAGATAAATTTTTTAGACATTTCTTTCCATTTTTTTTACATGAGTTTTATCTTCCCTTTTTTACTTAATATTATGTCATAAGCAATACCCCAGGTAATTTATAAACTGTTCTTACAGATAATTTTAAATATCCGTATGACATTCAATCTTATATAATTTTCTTTTCCTCCCTCCCTCCCTCCCTCCCTCCCTCCCTCCCTCCCTCCCTCCCTCCCTCCCTTCCTTCCTTCCTTCCTTCCTTCCTTCCTTCCTTCCTTCCTTTTTTTTTTTTTGAGATAGTCTTGCTCTGTTGCCCAGGCTAGAATACAGTAGCATGAGTTTACTGCAACTTCTGCCTCCCAGGTTCAAGCAGTTCTCCTGCCTCACCGTCCTGAGTAGCTGGGACTACAGTTGTGCACCACCACACCTGGCTAATTTCTGTGATTTTTTTAGTAGAGACTGGGTTTTGCCTTGTCCGGGCTGGTCTTGAACTCCTGACCTCAGGTGATCCACCTGCATCATCCTCCTAAAATGCTGGGGTTACAGGTGTGAGCCACCACACCTGGCCTCAATCTCATATAGTTTTCATTTTTCTACTTTTTTACTTAGCCATTCTGACATCTTTGGTATTTAGAATATTCCACAATTCACCAAATAGAAGCAGTGTTCAACAGAATATCTTAAAACCTTAATACCTTAAAACACCTTATGAGATACCTTAAAACATTGACTTTTAAAATTATTTCCTTAGGATTTCTAGAATTACCAAGTCAGAGAGTTTAGACATTTTTAAGGCTCTAGATATTTACTGCCAAATTACTTTCTCTAAAGTTTGTATGAATTTGTATCTCCAATAGCAGTGTGAAAGGACCAGTTTTCATGCCATTTTTAAAACTTTTGGAATTTTTTTATTGTGGTAAAATATGTGTAACAAAACTTACTAGTCTTTTAAGTGGAATCATGCAATTTTTATCCTTTTGTGTCTGGCTAATTCACTTAGTAAAATTCTCTTGTAAAAAGGTTCATCTTTTAGCATGATTCATTTTTAAAGCTGAATAATATTCATTGTATGTATATTACCATATTTTATCGATCTGTTCATCTCCGAATACGCATGTGATTTCTTTCCACCTTCTGACTATTGTGACTAATGCTGCATTGAACACTGGCATACAAGTATCTGAGTCTTAGCTTTCCCTTTTGGATATATGCCTACCCAGTGCATATTTACCTACCCAGTTGCTAGATCATGTGCTAACCCTATGGTTAGGTTTTTAAGGGACCACCAAAATTTTCCACAGAAGCTGTACCAGTTTACACTTCCCACCAGCCTTGTACCAGGGTTCCAGTTTCTTCACATCCTTGCCACCACTTGTTGCTTTGTTTTTTTGTTTTGTTTAGTTGGAGACTTCTCTAGTAAGGCTGAAGTGATATCTCATTATAGCTTTTATTTGTGTAACCCTAATGAATAATGATGTTGAGTATCTTTTCATGGGCTAATTGGCCACTTGTATATCTTTTTTGCAGAAATTATTCAAGTCGTTTGCATATTCGTTAATTGGGTTGTTTTTCTTTTTGTTGTTGACTTGTAAAAGTCTTTAAATGTTCTGGATATTAAACCTTTATCAGATGTATGGTTTGCAAATATTTTCTCCCATTGTGTAGGCTGTTTTTTCACTTTCTTGATAATACCCTTTGGTGCACAAAAGGTTTTAATTCTAATAGAGTCTAATTGTTATTTTTCTTTCGTCACTTATGGTTTTTAAGAATCCATTGCCAAATCCAAGGTCACAAAGATTAACTCTATGTTCTCTTATAAGAGTTTTATGTTTTCAAATCTTATATTTAGGTTGTTAATCTTTTTGAGTTAATTTTTATATATAATATGAGACAGGGGGTCTATAGATCTTAATCTTTTGCATGTGGATATCCAGTTATCTCAGCCTAGTTTTTAGTCTGGCAATTTGTTCTTACTGCTTTGAGGCCTATTAAGGCAGGCTATCCTCATCTACTTGATTTTAGTGTTTTTCTTCATCTTTTGCATGTGGATATCCAGTTGTCTCAGCACCATTTTTGAAGAGACTCCATGCATTTTTAATAAATCTCAATTTGACTAATTTGATAGGCAAAAAAGGTCATCATTGCAGTTTTATTTTTTATTTAGCAATGAAGATAAGCCTACTTTTTAGTCTGGCAATTTGTTTCCTATTTTAAGGCCTGTTAAGCCAGGCTGTCCTCATCTACTTGATTTTAGTGTTTTTCTTACATATGTAAGTTATTTCATTTATATAGCAAATGGGTCTTATTACAAAACAACTTCCCTGTGTTCCAGTTACATCCTTTTAAAAATAAATTAAGCCAGATAAACACTAAACTTCTTAGTTTAATTTATACAAGGGTTCTCTCTGCATTGTTTTTTTCATTTTTATTGGCTATGTCTGGCATATAGTAGACAATGAATGTTAGTTGAATTAATTACAGGCATGTTGAGGCAGGTTATTGCTGTTCTTGATAACAGAAGGTAATATCACAGATACTTTAAATGATATATATTCAGTTTTGAAGTACTTTGAATTTTATGTTTGTGGATTTGTAAATTCTCTTTGTCTGCCTGATTGGGCTAATATAATTTTAGCTTCTGAATGCATAGAGGAAAGCAGTCAAATGTATTCTGAATGCTAGAGAAAATATCTCCTAGAGAGGGAAGGAATATCCTAAGTGATAATCTTTTATTATTATCATGTAAGCATTTAAAGACTAGTCACTCATTTTAATTACACGATCATTAAAAGTATTATGGGGGTATAACTATTTCTAAAGAGAATTTTCTAATTATATTAGTGTAATGTATTAATAGTTTAGCTGTGGCATAGTTATTTCTGAAAATTATAATTTATTTTTATGGCACAACTTTCTGTTATATGTTTTCCTTTTATTTTGGTGTTTTTCCTGATTGTTTGTCATTGATGATTTTTAGCCAACAGAAGCTGTTCTTCCCTCTTCTCCCACTGTCCCTGTGATCCCTGTCCTGCCAGTCCCTGCTGAGAATACTGTCATCCTACCCACCATACCACAGGTTTTTATTAGTTTCCTTTTTTCTTTATAAAAATTTAATTTGCTTTTAATGTTTTATTTGTGTCCTTTTTTAAATTGTTTAGGTACTTTTTTTGTTAAATTTGGTACTTTGCTTTGGGCTTCAAATTGTAGTTTTAGGGAATTAAACATTTGGGATTTAATATAAATGGAGTCAAGATTTGCCATTTTATTAGGTTGACTGAAATGAGACACATTGTGAACTTCGTAATATTGAACCTTAGATTGGTTTTCATGTGTTTATACTTGTAAATCTGCTTAAGACAGTTTTTTTAACATTTTTACTTTAAAAAACTTAATTTTTCTAAAGTTAGTAAAAATCATTGTACTTTTGATCTTGTACTGGATGTATCATTTTATTTAGCACTTTGTTTCCCATTATGTATTTTGGAAATACTCTTCTGTTACTTGATTAGATAACATAATTCACATTTATTAGGTAAAAATAATAACCAGCATATCTGGAGTATATGGGAACTCTCTGTGCTGTCATCACAACTTTTCTGTAAATCTGTTGTAAAATTTTATTTTTTAAAAATAATGTGTAACAGTTTAAAAATAAAATAATAGCCAAATGTGAAAGAATTTAATCATTTTTAGTTTTTGAAAGCTTTACTACTTCTAGGGGTGACTTGAGACATAAACTGGCCTTCCAACAGTTATCCAAAGTCAAAATAATGGTACTGTTATTAAAGATAATAATAAAGGTCTTTGGTACGAAAGACTATTACCTCATTTAAAGTATAAATAAATGCACACATAGATTTTTTTTGCCATTATTGATCTATAGCATAAAATCTGGGTACACATTATCATGTTTGCTGTGTAAACAGTTTCAAAATAAGCTCCACTGGGGAAAAGAGTGAGATATCAACTGCAGTTATTCACATCTCAAAGCCTTTCACCTCTAAAAAGTGAAGTCAATAAGAACATCCAGATAACCAAGAATTCTAGAGGAAATTACAATGTTACAATGACTTCAGACTTACTGTAAAAAGACTGAATTGTAATAATATTACTTGCATATAATTTTTATTATAAAAGTAATTTAAGTCATAAATCCATCAACAATGAATAGATGAATCCAAATGGATATTCTCTCTATATTGCAGGAGAAAAACTGAATTTGTAAATAAAATATAATTCTGAGTGAGCAGTTTAAGGGTTATTATAACATTGTAATGATGTAACATCTTTCCAAATAGGTAGAGTTTATTTGTACAGTTTTTTTTTTTTTAAGTAGAATTGAAAGTTTATTTTACTCTTCTCACTTCAGTGAACTTTTTGGTGTTAAAATAGTTTTCTGGAATCCTTTGAGAGTTTGTATCAGTCTCTGTTCTTATATTCATTTGGGACCCTGTCTTTTCCTATTATGAATTCTCTGGTTAATTTACTCCAAGCTTAACATCTAACTTGACATCTTACTACATTTGAAAATTGTTGAGATCTTGCATAGCCTTATAAAAATATAGGTTTTAGAGTCAAAATGACCTGGGGTTGGAATTCCAGTCCTACCACTTACCGTATGTAACTACACACTTTACTTAACCACAGTAAACTTCCACTTACTCATCTGTAACACTGAAGATGGACAGGAGTACTAACTTGAGGTGTTTTACACTGATTGAGAGGATAATTAATGCATGGGAAGTACACATCACAGCAACTGTCACATAATCTTGGCTGTTTATATTCTTAGTGTTATCTCATAGTTTGCTCTGAGACAGGAAACTCAGGAACACGTTTTTTTTGTTTGTTTGTTTGTTTTTAATGAGGGTATTTGCTAAGGATACACAAGAAAAAGACCTCTTTATTCTGCATAGCTTCACTTTGGGTTTTGAATATACTACAGAAGTTCATGAAGGATAGTTGAACCATTTATGTTGTGTTACGTAAGAAGCCAGTGAGTATACCTTACTTTTCAGAATAATTGTGTTCCTAATTAGTCAAGTATAATATGTACATTACAAAATTAAAATAATGGACTAAAGCAGTCTATCTCCAAGTAAAATTTAAAATCCATACTTAACATATAACCCAATTTCAACATATTTAGTGGATATGTATTCTTAAAAGATCCACTACTTTGCATTTAGATGCATTAGGATGTATTAGAAATAGAAGCAGAAGAAAAGATTTAGAACCTGGTCTGTCTTTGTCACTCAAACAGGTTACCCTCTCTGAGTTTTATACCCCCTTCTTCTTTTAAAATTGGGGAGTAATGCCAACCTGACTACTTTAAAATGAGTTTGAGAGTCAGGCAAATTAGAAAGATACATAGAGGATAACTTTTTAAAAGGTATATTGTCTTTCATTATTTGTAGAATACTTTTATACTTTTCAGAGTACTTTTATATTGATCATATTGTTTGTACTTTATGAAAGCCCTCTACACATCAGAATTATGCTTATTATGCAGAGTGGCACAGATAAAGATAATACTGAATTGCTGCTTAAGACTGCATAAAGAGCGTGGACTTTATAGTCGTACCTGACTCCACCACTTCCTAGCTTCACCTATTTCTACATGTGTGATGGTGTGGAAATTACTCAACTTCTCAAAGCATCAGTTTCTCCATGTAGAAACTGAGTACAGAGTAGGTAACAGATACTAGTTCTTCTTACTGGGAATGTAAACACGTAATCTCTGTGATATCAGCCTATTAAATCTAGAGGCTTATTTCCACCCTGGAATAAATACTCTGCTTTAAAAATAGATGTTTTGAACATTTATTTCTGTGATTTCTGAAAAGCTATCATTTAATTAAGGTATTATTGAAAATGCTTTAGAGCTAATTTATTGTGTGTGGTCTTTTTTGATATTTGAGCATGTACTTTGAAGATGAATAGAATATTGTCTCTGTCCTCTAGGAGCCTACTAGGTGTTTATGCAAGAGACAAGTTAACAAATAACTGCCACATTTTATGTGAGAGTAATTACATTAGAAGTGTGTCTAAAGCAGAGCATCATAGTGCCTCTGGACCTTTTAAATTTCATGAAACATCTGAGTGTTGGGTCTTAAATGATTGGATCATTAGTATAACCTAAAACATGACTTGATATATTGTTATTCTGTGGGTAATGTTAAATATAGCATACTTTGGATTATGTGGATGAGCCTTTTTAATTACTAACACCTGACTGAGTACCCTTATTCTGTTTGCTGTTGGAAAGGAATTTTTTGTTTATTTTTGTATTATTTTCACAGTATTTCAAACTTAGCAAGAACAGTAAAAAAAAAAAAAAAAAAAAAAAAAGGTCTCATATACTTATACCCAAATTCCCCACATCTGCTTTATGAATTTTTCTTTTTATATGTTTATATCATTTTTTTGTGAACCATTTGGAAGTGACAGATTTGTGTGCCTTTCCCAAATACTATTATTTTATAATGTTAAATACTTTTTTTATAAGAACATTACCACAGTACAATGAACTAAATCGGGAAAATGACATTAACATAATACTATTGTCTATATACCTAAATTTTATTTTACTGATTGCTCCAACAATGTGCTTTATAGATTTCAAAACAAAAATGACAAAACAGATCACTTGGCCAGTCTGAAGACCTAAACACCTTGCGTTTAGTTTTCTAAAGTCTATAGTCTCCTTTAATCTGGAATAACTCCACAGTGTGTCTTCTGTCAGGTGTATGCCATAAAGAGAACCAGCTATTTATTTTATGGAATATCCTTCAATTTGTTTTTAATGCATTTTCATAATAAGATTGAGGTTACATATTTTTTTACCAACTTTTTTATTGTAAAAGCAGATAACATAAAATTTACTATCTTAACCATTTTAAAATTTGCTGTGCAGCTGTATTATTTACATTCATAATTGCTGTGCAACCATCATCTCTAGAACTCTTTATCTTACACACTGAAACTCTATACCCGTTAAACAATAACCTCCCATTCCCCACAAGCCTATCCCTTAGCATCCACAATTCTACTTTATGTCTCTGATTTTGATCACTCTAGGTACCTTATGTTAGTGAAATCATGCAGTAGTTATCTTTTTGGCTGGCATATTTCACTTAACATTAAATCCTCAAGGTTCATCCATGTTGTAGCACATCAGAATTTGCTTCCTTTTGAAGGCTAAATAATATTCCTGTATAAATAACAAATTTTCCATATCCATTTATTCGTTGATGGACACTTGAATTGTTTCCACATTTTAGCTACTGTGAATAATGTTGCTGTGAATATGGATGTAAAAATACCACTTCAAGACACTGCATTCAATTATTTGAGGTTTATACCTAGCAGTGGAATTACTTGATCATACAGTAATTCTGTTTTTATTTCTTTTTGAGGAGCCACCATACTATTTTTACAGTGGTTGTAACATTTTAGATTTCCTTGTACCAAAGTGTACAAGGATTCCAGTTTTTCCACATCCTCACCAACACTTTTTATTTTCTGTTTTTTAAATAGTAGCCAGTCTAATTGGTGTAGGTGACATCTCATTTTAATTTTGATTTGTGTTTCTATAATGATTAGTGACACATCTTTTCATATGCTTATTATCCATTTGTATGTCTTATTTGAGAAAATGTCTGTACGAGTTCCTTGACCATTTTTTAATTGGAGTGTTTGGTTTTGTTGAGTTTTATGAGTTTTCTGTGTATTCTGGGTCTCATGTTTTGTCAGAGATATGACTTACCAATTTTTTCTTTCTTTACCTGTGCCTTTGTGTCATATCCGAAAAATCACTGTCAATTCCATTGTCTCGCTTTCACCCTGTGTTTTCTTCTAACGATTTTATAGTTTTAGGTTTTACGTTTAGATCATGACCCATTGTAGGTTGATTATTGAATATGGCATTTATTTCTGGATTCTGTTTTATTCCATTGTTCTATATGTCTGTCTGTATGCCAGGACCAGATTGTTATTATTACTGTAACTTTGTTGTAAGTTCTGGAATCAGGAAGTTGAAGCTCTCCACCTTCATTTTTCTTTCTCAGGGTCATT